AATGCATTTTTCCTCAGATATGTATCTCATAAATGGATTTAACATCATCCGCTGCTCAATATACAGCATGAAATTAAGACAAACAAGGTTCTACACCAGAAACAAACTATCTATAATACTTACAAGAATAGGCTACATCCTAAAATATAATTAGAAGTACAATTAGCATCAAGCTACACTGTGATCTATAGTTGATTTTGATTAATAAGCAGACACATGCACTCTTTGTATGTTTAATAAGTTACACCGCTAATATTTGTCATAAACATCCTTTATTTCTATAAAAAATACCATGAGCTGCATACAAAACATACAGAAAATATGTTATTCTGTATAAAGAACATCTGAGAATAAATCTGTTCTCAAATACCAACGATAACAAGAACTCAGCATCCACTCTCTTCTCTTTTCCGGGATACTCTTCTTCTGTGTTTGTTTACACTGGTTTTCGAAACAACGCCACCACACTTGCCTTTTTGTGCAACAGCAGCTGCTCCGGTCATGTGATCCTAGCTCAAATCTTATTGGACGGCCCGTGTTTTCGCTTTGCGAAACTGAAAAGATTCGTCGGACTGGTTCGAAAAAAAACATTCGCATTTTCGGTGCGCGAATGTTCGCGGTCTATGTGGAAGCATCCATAGAAATCTACTGTTTTATTCCAGCGCGTCATCGTGTCCGATATTCGTTTCGTTTTTTCGCGCTCAGTGTGGAAAGGCCTGTATACGGCAATCTTTTTACATGGTACAAGTAAACAGCTTTCTGCAATTCTGACCAAGTGATTGCTGTGGTAACAAACAATGACACATGCTTGTCATTGCATTTGACACATGGTTGGCATTGCATTTGCACCGCTAGTAGGAATGATGAAGTTAAGTAAGGTGACCAGCAGTGACAGCATTCAGCAACGTCAACAACTGGATAATGGTGAAGTGCCTGGACTTTGGCGTCAATCCATCTATCACGGGTACTTCTTCCAATAGTTATAGGAGCTATGAAAAGTTCCTCCGGTGCTAAAGCACCTTATGTCTCAGAATAAAGAAGACCTTCAGAAGACTATTTTGTTGCCAAGGCCACAGACCATATGGAACTAATCTCATGCACAGTGCAAAAGCGATGATCTACTGCTCATGTCCAGTCGTTTTGCCTTTGTCTGATTCAGTTCAGATCAGGACGAGACGTTCCTGTAGGCTTGTTTGCGGGCTTATTGGTCTTACTGGTCTTATAGAAGCAGCTTCAGTTGTGGTATTATAGATACCTTGTCAGTAAATTTGTGCACAGTTTAACAAAAGTCACTCAGCCTATGTCACAGCCATCTGCTGGTGTGCCCATGTCAACCACCAAAGGGCTCTCTTCCTGGATCATTATCTGTCAGTTCTGGACTCCCGTTCCCATCACTCTTTGCACGGACTGTCAGACCTCATTGCTTTCAGCTTTGTGCGATTAGCCACCCTTATATGTTCCATGTTCACTTAGCTATTGTTGCTGAAGTTTTGCCTTTCTACTCTGTTTTTGCTGGGTCCTGTTCTCTGGATTATCTTGTGCTGGTGCTGCCTTTTGCGGATTATTGTTTTTATTAAAATCTACACTTGGATCATCTACAAATTTTTCAGTGCGTTTCCGTGACAGAATACTTTAGCCATCACAGATCCAGCAGGAAGTCAGTGTTAATCAGCTTTAGCACCATGGGCATTCGGATTCTTCCTCAAGCAACAAAGAAGCAGCGGATGGCACGAGTTCAGGCATTGGCTGCATTGCGCCAACAGGGGTTGGGAGTAGGTGTCAGGGACCTGGAAGGAGGACCCAATTGCAGTGTGAGTAACAAGGGTTTATTGACAAAACAGATCAATACAAAAGGGTAGTGAGGTGCACAGGTGATACCACAACAGGAACACAATAAACGGAGATAGCTAGGGAAGGCCACTGGAACAGCCTCAGACATCAACTGGCAGAATACTATAGCAGCAGAGGAGGCGGCAAGACCAGGCCGGTGGAGAGACCAGAGCAAGGCACCAGAGAGCTGAGCTCAGATACTTATTGACCATAAACTCTGAAGCACCCCAAACACCAGGCAAGGGAACCAGTGGACAGGAACGGAACTCTAACACCACAACAAGACAAAACATAGCTCCACAGGAACACTAATTACTCCAAGACAGGCAAGAGAATAAACAAAAGGACTAAAAAAAAATAAAAAATAAAAAAAAATAAAAAAAAATAAATAAAAATAAACAAAGACAATAGGGCAAGGGGCACTATAAATAGGGAGGAAAACACACGAGGAACAGGTGAGAGCAATTACACTAACAAGGACTCAATGAGGGCTAACAAGAGGGTGTGGTAATGAGGAAACCAGGAGGAGGGGCTTAAGAAGCACATGGCTGAGAAAAACAATCAACTAAGCCATGTGCTGACACAAGACAACAGACACAAGAAACAAAACACAAGACAACCAGAGTGTCAGGGCAAAACCCTGACAGTAGGAGGCTTGGCTCAAATGTTTTGGAACGTGGCGGTGGGGCTGGAACCTAGCACTATTGAGCTTATGAACAGTGTTGGGCAAGTTACTCTGAAAATGTAATTAAATTACGACATCAGAAATGGATATTATATAATAGATGCTTTTTTGAAAATTTTAGCAATTTAAAAATATTTATTTTTTACACGGCACCCCTGCTCTCGACAGACGGCACCCCGGTTGGGAAACACTGTGCTACAACACCTCCAGAGAATAGTGAGGATTCACTATCTCTGACTCGTAAGCGAAGGTCAAGAAGGAAGAGGGCAGCTATGTCCATTCCAGTCGTTCGAGAGTCCACTCTAGAGGAGACTGTTCCAGAGCCCCTTCTCAAGTTGGCCACCACGCCAGAGCCTCCAGCCGTTATGGCCGCCACATCAGAACCTACAGCCATCATGGATGTCACGCCACAGTCTTCAGCCATCACGGATGCCACTCCCGTGTTCCCGGTCATTGTGAAAGTTCCACTTGAAGACACTCAGGCATTCCAAAGACACTTGGGGCTGATTGCTAATATGGCGGATCCACCGCTGATTTCATCCAGAGCACCTGGTATCTCAAGAGCCTCAGCATTGGTTTTCACAGAGCCTGTTCCATTCCATGAGTCTGCTCTGGAACTGGCTCCAGCCCAGGACTCAGAACCAGAGCCTGCCCCAGTCTTGGAGCCTTTAGAGTCCATTCAAGAGCCCACTCCAGCCCAGGAGCCCTCAGAGTTCACTCCAGAGCCAGCTCCAGCCCGGTAGCCCTCAGAGTCCACTCCAGAGCCCGCTTCAGTCCAGGAGCCCTCAGAGTCCACTCATGAACCCGGGAGCCCTCAGAGTCCACTCCAGAACCCGCTCCAGCTGGGTCCTTTTGCGCAGAAATCCATGTCCGCGCGTCTGTGTTTCCTTGCAACAACTGCAGCACGCGGCTGTGCTCGGTGATGACACGCGAATACTCACAGAATTTTGACAATTATGATCACATTCAGGGGCGGATTGGCCATCTGGCAATTCTGGCAAATGCCAGAGGGGCCGGACCATTTTGTTTATTTAATGTGGGCCGGTCAGAGACATATATGGTACTGCTTATATTATTTCACCATCTGTACACAAACGTAAGTAGTGAATGCGTACGTCCGTGGGTGGGGCTGTGTCGGTGTGGTAATGTGGGCCGGTGTGGCTACAGTGCCAGGGCTGAATTTTTGTCCCAGTCCGCCCCTGATCACATTTGAGAAAACAATTAAACTTTGTTGGGAGATGAGAAGAGCATTTGGTTACGGGATTTGCTGGAATGTTTGTTTCACCAGTGACCACACAGGGTCGCTGTGGTTATGTTGACATGCCTCTCTTTTACTTTTCATATGATCTTGTCTTGTGTCCCTTGCAGGGTTCTTTCACGGCGCAATGCTATCTCTCCTCCCTTTTCTTCGTTTTCAGTTCTCTCTTTCCTCTGGTTCTGCGATTATCTCTTATCAAAGAATTTATAATCATCATTATTAAGTTATATTAATAATAGTAACACATAACAAAGTTACAGAACAAAATAAAAGGTGCAAAAACATGATAGCCATACCACCCTACACAAACTTTTTTATTATTTATGCCAAAATCAACTTACATTTTACTATACCAACATGTAGGCCTACAATAATAGCAACAGAAATAAATAAATAATACAAAAGCCAAAAGCTAGGAAAAAACATTTATATGAGAGGCTAACCTGACAGTCACGACTCGTGCAGCTGTAAGGTTTTCTTTTTCTTTTGTTTTCACTCGCGATCTTTACAACACGCAAAAAAATATCGTCTTATATTCGGGACAATACGGTATAGTCTACCAAAAGAATTACAGGATTCTCACCTAAAAATGTGTATTTATGTATATACCAAGAGCAAACTGAATATAAGAGTTTGTGTTGTAATAAAGAAAAATTATTTACATATTTAATATAAAGTGTGCTGTCACAAGAGTAGCATTTATGTGAAGTTTTGAACGTAACAACCATTATCTTGTCACCCTACACAAGTTGAAAATGTTACGCCCTCACGTAATCTACGTCACAAACGTCTAGCTGGCGGGAGTTACAGCAGCTCTTCAAACACTATCACGCGTCCATACCGTTTTTATACAGTCTATGGTCCATACCTAGAGTATTGTTCTTTTAAAGTTTGTTTCGTTTAAATAATCATTTTATTTGTGGAAATGATTGGACAAAAAAGTATCACCTCTTTTTTTTCGCCAATGACCAAAAAAAGAAATCTGGACGAGATCCATACATGCCCAGGGGATGCAAGAGATCATGTGAGTAAAATATGCTTTATTCTGGCACGACTGGATATGCGTACACGTTTCGCGGGAATTATTAATGAAAGTGGCTGTGCTTTATTTATCTGTTGAACGTGTTGTCATTTATTTAGCAAATAGAATTGACTCTGATTAAAACCTCGCTATTTTATCCTTCCCGCTAAAGTTTACACAATTCCGGAAGTAGTTTTACGTCACTTGCCTAAACAAAAGCTAGTGCAGATTATTTCAAACAACTTACTGCGAAAATGTGTTGAGACAGTGTAAGCGAAATCATTTAACGTCAATTTCACGTCTGTTAGTTTAGTTGTATATAACTAAGATTTTCTTGAATATGACCGCGAATGCACCACGTGGTAAATCGCTAAAGGATTATCGTATCTTTTGCGTGTAATTCACGCTACAAGTTGGCATCAAAACTCTCATGTATTTTGAGAAAGCATCCCAAGATAAAATAAATAAGCAATGTTTTCCAACATAGCTTGCCTTAGGTTTTTAAATGTACAAATGTCCGGTCTTTTTGCCAAGCGAACACGGAGTTCAACCAAATGTATTAAAATATTGTCTCAGGGGAAAAAACGAAAGTTGGAGCGCGACGACGTTACATCCTCACTGTCCCTGAGTCCCGAGCAAGTTGAACGGATATCCAAAAACAAGAAGGCGGCTCTGGAAAGGCTCGCTGCAAACCAAGCTGTACCGAACGGGATTGGAGAGAGCTGGAAGAAAGCGCTCAACGCAGAATTCGGGAAGCCCTACTTTAAATCAGTAAGTAACTAACACATGAAAAACTATTTTCATTTTCAACTTTCTAAAATGAAGAGTGATACAATAGTGTTTCTCTTTCGCAGTTAATGTCATTTGTTGCTGAGGAGAGGCAAAAACACACCATCTATCCACCTGAAAATGAAGTTTTTACCTGGACACAAACATGTGACATAAAAGATGTAAGTTGGGTGTCATGTTCATATGTTAGGCAGGTCAAAATCATTGGTTGTTTTCTGGCCTATTATCCCTAGCAAAGCTCCAGACAAAAAAGTGACCACAAAGCCAATGGCTCTTTTTTTTTTGACAGATTACATTATAGCCAGATAAAGATGGTCGTACAGGAGCATAGCTTGCACACAGTGCTTATGTTCTTACTTTTACTTGTAAAGACCCCATGATGTCAAGTTTTTTTTATTTTTTTTTATGTTTATTAGCTTTACGGTCATCCCCTCATTGCACATATAGGCCTGTGATTGTGGAGAACTAATTTGATGTTCACATTTTCAGCTTGAAGATGCATTTTTGTATATTTGCTCATCAGCAGTATTTTTCTGAAACATGTCCAGTCAGTAGTTAAACAGACATTTAGAAAATGTCTTTAAGATGTTTATGATTTAGAATGTATGTAAAACTGCTTTAAAAAAATCAGTTTATCAGATTCCAAATGACATGCTTATTAAGGTTATAGTTCACCCAAAAATGGAAATTGACATTATTTACTTACTCTCATATTGTTTCAAACCTGCATGACTGACTGACTTCTGAGAAACATAAAAGAAAATCTGCTGAAGAAACAAGAGGCATACAGGTTTGGAACAACTTTCTGACCCTCCCATAGACAGCAACATAGCATAGCAAGGACATCGGTAAAACAGTCCATGTGACATCAGTGGCTCAACTTCAATTTTGCAAAGCTACGAAAAACAAAAATAACTTTATTCAACAATTCTTCTCCCCCAGTTACCGTCTTCTGCCATTTTGGAGAGTACCTTGTGCGCACTTTCCCCAGAACACAATCAACTTAATCAGTTATGTTTACTTTTAGGAGAAAGTGCGCATGCTGAATATAAACAACGCTGATTACGAAGAATTGTTGAATAAATTAAGTTATTTTTGTTATTTTAGTTTTTCGTAGCTTTGCAAAATTGAAGTTGAGCCACTGATGTTACATGGACTGTTTTACCGATGTCCTTGCTTCGTTTCTGGACCTGGGAACATTACAGTTGCGTTGCTGTCTATGCAGGGTCTGAGAGCTCTCAGATTTGATCAGAAATATCTTAATTTGTGTTCCAAAGATGAACAAAGGTCTAATGGGTTTGGAACGACATGAGGGCGAGTAATTAATGACAGAATTTTCATTTTTAGGTGAACTAACTCTTTAAGGGTGAGTGAATTATGTCAAGATTTTCTTTTTGGGTGAACTATCAATTTAACAGACATCTTGGAGGTTCGCTGTCTGGGTCTGTATGCTAGTGTAATTCTAAACATTGATAGTTCGTTATTAAAAGATATATGCATTCAAAAATGACCGTTAGGAACAAATCAAGTTAATCAGTTATGAAACAAATTCAACTTTAAAGCAGCTCTACAGAAGTCAGTGGTGTCATTATCTAACTCGGTTCAATTCTGATTTTGTTCTCTCATCCGATAGTGTCAGTGTAGTCAAACTGAAATATTCGGAAATAATTCTCTCTAAATATTAATTGTCTAATCAAATGATTTCTAGAACAAGAATCATCTCTGCCATAATGTTCATTCTGATACTGCTGGTCAGAACCCACTGTTCTGTATGACTGGTTCTGCAGGTGGATATGTCTCCAAATACCACCTGATACCAAATACCATTGTTGTTGCTGTTCCATTTGGGACACTCTAGAGAGTTGCCTTGAGTAATTTATTTCATTAACCATTTGTACAAAATTCTGTTCAAAACATGCCAAGATGTTTATTTGTTCTTAAATTACTGCATGGTTTTCTAAGAATATAATAATTTTTTTCTTGTGATGGTAGGTAAAGGTTGTGATTCTTGGCCAGGATCCTTATCATGGACCTAACCAGGCTCATGGGCTTTGTTTCAGCGTGCAGAGACCTGTGCCACCTCCACCAAGGTACTGCCCTGCAGTCATCAAGTCAGGGTTTATTTTTATAATGCTTTTCACAATACACATAATTTCAAAGCAGCTTTACAGACTGGAGTACCTTAATTTGATATGTATCAAATACTATTTTCATAGTATAAATTTTTTTTTAGTTCATGGGTGCAAAATTCAGTTCCCTGGAGGGCCAAAGCCCACAGTTTTCAATTAGGGTTGAAGCTAAGCTCTGCAGGAAGTTTTGCGGCCCTTCTTTAGCTTGTCAGCAAGCCAGAAGAAGAAAAAACCTACTTTTTTTTTGTTAAATACAGGAAGAAAAAAAGACTACACTCAGTTCTCCTTTGTTCAGGGGTGTCCAGTCCTGCCCCTGGAAGCCTAGTATCTAAGTTTTGATCCAACACCCTTGCCTGAAAAGTTTTAGTAATCCTGAAGACCTTGACTAGCTGGTTCATGAGTGTTTAATTAGGTTTGGAGGTAAGCTCTAAAGGACCGTGTCCCTGCTGAATCAGGATTGGACGCCCCACCTTTAGCGATACAGTCTAAACCAGGGTTCCTCAATTACTTTTCGCTGAAGGGCAGAATTCTGCCAACAATACCAAGCCAAGGGCCAGGGATCAAACTGTAACACCGTGTCCCAACCAGACGGGACGCAATAAAAAGTATCTTTTCCATGTCGTTTTTTTGTCCTAACCACCCGCCACAGCGACACGGGATTCTGTTTTAGAAACGGTATTATTTTCTGTGACGTCGCGGCTGAAACAACACAAACTATGACAGTGATAATCTCAGGTAATTACTATGTGCTTTATTCAATGTTAAAAGTGTCTAATGTGAGTTTGAATATTTTGTGTGATCTTTATAGCCATACTGAAAGCAACAATAAATATTTTACCTCAGATCTTGAAAATAAATTTAAGCAAACTTGTGGTACGTTTAAATTGTCAACTCAATGTGAACCAACATGTGTATTCCATAACAAAGATGGTATCAGCCACTCACTTGTCATGTAGCGCAACGTGTAGTGTAGGTCAGCATCACAGATTATAATGGGTTCTATTGTATTTTGTTGCGTCGCGTCCGGTGTAGACACTATGTAAGTTTAATGTCGCTTTCTGATGCTGCGTTTAAATTTTCATGCCACATTATTTGAAATTAGTGCAGGCAAAACATTTTTCTCTTATGAGCCAGATGTGGCCCGCAGGCCGCCTATTGAGGAACCCTGGTCTAAACATACTGTTAGCATTGGCTAGCTATGTTACTGTATTGTTAGGACTAACAATTAAGTGTCTTTTGAGTTCCAGATTTACAGATGAGGTGGATGTACAGTAGGTTTAGGCTTTATAAAATCCATCAGGAGTAAGGCTGGATCTAGAAGGACCTGGTGTCCTTGGGATAAAACCTCCAGGTTGAGAAAGGCAATCAAAGGCAGATTCCTGTCAAACATAACACTCAAGTTCTTAACTGTAGAAGACAATGAGAGTAATAGGACAACCACTGAGTGACAAATTATATTCTAGCAGCTTACGCTTACAGGCCTTTGTCCTGCTAATCAAAATCTCTTTTCTTTTAAAAGTCACTGAGCATATACAGTAAGCACAAGGATGTTACAAATTATAATAGGGGCTAGATGATTGTTTGTTTTTCGATACAGTGATTTTATGACACTTTTGCTGTTCACAGCTTGGTGAACATCTTTAAAGAACTGGCTTCAGACATCGAAGGCTTTGAGCAACCTGGTCACGGAGATCTTACAGGATGGGCAAAGCAAGGTGTGCATCCCCTACTTTCTCCTCTTCATGGAGTACATGTTAAAGGGATAGTTCCCAAAAATTGAAATTCTGTCATTAATTAGGCCTACTCACCCTCATGATGTTCCAAACCTTCATTCATCTTCAGAACAGAAATTAAGATATTTTGACCCTCCATCAGGAGAATTGAACCAGCGTATGATGCCATTCATTTGCAATGACCAGTTGTTCTTTTTGCAATTCATCTAAGTTGACAGTTGACTTTGATTTATCCATTATCCAGCAGTTAGTCTCTGCCAGTGTGGCTATTTTGTAAGTTAGTGGATAGACGTAAGTTAGTAGAAATGTATGATCCAGCCATCATTTTAATTTTTAAAGTGAGGACATAAAATGGCACTTCTACCTGGATGAAATGTTATCAGGTGCTGAAACTTTAGCAAATCATGTGAAAATGTTGGTCAGTCCCATTAAAATCCATGACTTACATTTGAATTAATGTATGCTAATTCTGAAGTCATGTCCTTTTTTTTTCTCATAGGCATATAAGCTAATTTTCTTGTGCATGTAAATGTGCTCAGTGAAATTTCTTCATGAATGTCTTTCGTAGGAGTTCTGTTGCTGAACGCTGTGCTGACTGTGCGTGCACACCAGGCCAACTCTCACAAAGACAAGGGGTGGGAGACTTTCACTGACGCTGTGATACACTGGCTCAGCACTAACATGCAGGGTCTTGTTTTTATTCTCTGGGGCTCTTATGCGCAAAAGAAGGGGGCTGCCATCGACAAGGTATATTGTGTGATTTTTTGTTGTTTATAAATGAAATAATTTCCAGCTTAAATATATAAACGTATTTCAATAGATCCAATAAGTATTCCAAACAGGCAGTAAGACATCGTTTTCTGATTGTTGACTTGTAGAAACGACACCATGTTCTGCAAACAGTCCACCCCTCGCCACTATCTGCTCACCGTGGCTTCTTTGGATGTAAACATTTCTCAAAGACCAATGAACTGCTGAAGAAATCAGGAAAGAAGCCCATCGACTGGAAAGCTTTGTGATGGTTTATATTTGCGATTGTAGATGGAATGCTCTCCCCTGTTTCAAAAGTAACCTTTGTTTTTTGTTAATTTCCTTCCAAAATGATCCATACCTTCGTTCTGAATACATATTTCTTCTTTTCAAGATAAGTTTTTGGTTTATTTTACTTTTAAGTTCTGTCCATTTTCCATCTACTTTTTCGTGTTTTCCTTTTAGATGTTATTGATGTCGTTTTAAATGTACAACACTAACAGTGAATGTTTTTGTTTTTGTTATGCCTGTTAACACAATAAACTATTTTTCTACAGAATGTTATGTGCACTTTGCGTTGATGGTCTAATTTTAAATAGGATGGGTTCTATTTTACCTATGTGTTTCAAAGCAACATTACCGCTAAACAAGTATTTCACCGAAGAACACCGTTTTGACAGACTTGCACAGTTGCTGCCCGCATAGTGTTTCCAGAGCTGAATCATTATTGGTGTTTCCCGGTGTTAGTGGGTGTGCTCTCGAGACAACCAATCGCGCGCGCTTCTGTCATCGCAACGCAACGACCGTCTTGACTTCATTAAATCCCTTCAAGTTACGAGTGATAGCATTGCGGCTAATGCTGGGAGTATGCGGGAAAAGTCGGGACATTTAAACAACTTCTAAAATAATATCACTAAATCCAGTTACTAATGGACGAAGGATGTGTTGTGTAATGTGAATTATCAGCACCGCTACAAGTCCAGCGCGTACTTTTTAATATGGCTACTCGAGAGACCTGGCAATACCGACGGGCCACGATGATAATCAAGCAAGAGCAGGACGACGACTCTGACGCAGAGGAGTCGACTATTTCGTTTAAGAAATCAGAAGGACGCGAGTCGCAGATCATCCACAGCGGTCATTTTATGGTGTCTTATCCTCATACCGATCACCCCCCCTCAAAGAAAGGTTACGACTTCGACACTGTAAATAAACAAACCTGCCAGACGTATCACTTCGGAAAGACTAGCACGTCGCATCTCTCTATTGATGCTTCCCTGACGAAGCTCTTTGAGTGCATGACGCTTGCCTACAGGTGGGTTGGGTACTAAACAAAAGATCGATTTGCAATCTGTTTGAGCTCCAGTTGGATGGACCACAGTAAATATTATTCCATCATTCCTATAAAGATATTAGCGCGCTGCTAGCTGGGCCGAAAGTTTCTAGACAAACTAGTACGCATTTAATACTCTAGTCATGAGACGTAAACATTCGTTTGTGATGGTATTGTTGGTGATGCGTAATGCGTTTTAGCAAGCTGTTTAACAGCCGACAGTTGTTGGTTTGTTTTTGTTACTCACGGTTACAAAAGTATCAACCAACGTTCTACGTACTTATAGTTAAGTTAAAAACCCACTACACTAGCGTTAGTAAAGACAAATAATTACAACAAGTGACTCTCTAATCCACCCTATATATTAGACGCCTGTTTTGTCAGGAAGTGTAAAAAATTCCCCCTTCCAATCTAGGCAACCAACTACACAAACACAGATACTTAAAACAGCCGTGTATTTGCAAATAAAGGTGAAGAGTGACTAGAAATATCGTGACGCACATTTCTTGTTCCCGGTCTGTTAATTTATTAAGAAATATTATTAATAAATGCAATTGCTTGAATACATCTTTTACGATTTTAATTTCTGAATATATATATATATATATATATATATATATTTCTTTATAATAAAATTTAAAATGATGTATATCTAGAAAGTCACATGGACCACTTTTAAAATATCTTGCGTGAACAAGCCTGTTGTTTACATTATTTTTGATGATAAGTGAGAGTGTATTAATGGTGACAGAATAGTCACTTTTTTGGGTGACATTATGTGGACACACCTAGAAAATTATGCAAGGATTAATAAGTTATACAAAGTAAGAGGGAGACATTTACTAGACAACTTCACATCAGCAGCATAGAAAAGAAAATTATTATTTTGCTTATGAATGAATTATACGTGCAAAGAGAACAAAACACTTTTCATGATTTGTTTATTGTGACAGCCCATAATTGTATTTGTGATTTTATTTTTCAAGCAATGGTGCAGCTTTGGTTTTAGAGTAAAAAGTTTAATTCTAAAAGATAAGGTTAAATTATTAAAATGTTTTTATCCAAAATTGAACTCATTTTGTTTATTAACATTGCAGAGTGACACATTTTGCCTGTACAGCGATATTCCAAAGAAATCTGTTGCTGGAATAAGGAGTAATTGACAACATACAGTATCTCTTGAATAATTTTAAGTGACTTCTCCCTGAGGTGGTAATGTGACCAGAATAAAGTATTTCTTTTAACAAATTAGTAACATTTTAGTGATATTTAAAGACTGGTGTTGCACATTTTCAGCATAACAAGGAACGAAACGATGCAGTAGACAGACAAAAAAAAGTCTAAATAACAATAAATATTACTGTAAAATTCAGGTTGACTGAGTAAAGTGGGTACAAAAGAGAAACATTTAAAAATAATTTTATTTGTCATTCTGTGCCTGTGCAATATTTTGGTATCTCTGTACAATGTATGTGTAAGCTAAGTGACATGAACCAAACAGGCAGTTAAACAGTTAGTTGCAGCTGTTTGTGTGACAATTAATAACACCCAAAATGTCATGATCTGATAGACCTAAAATTTGTACCATGGTTGCACCTGTGTCTTGCTATTCAAAAATGTAATATATCTGTTTTGTTTGCGTAAGTGGAAGGTTGGTGTCACCAAAATGGAAGAATTTCAAAGGCCTCAAGCTGCTGTGGAGAGACAAGATTCGCCTCAACAACGCTATTTGGAGAGCCTGGTATATACAATGTAAGTCCAGTAATTAAACACACATACCACCCAGAAATGGTAAAACATATGAGATTGTTAATTTCCATCTGCAATGCCGCTCTTTCCTGAAGATGTAGAGAAGAGACAGAACCCTGTTTGCCATTTTGTCACTCCTTTGGATGGCAATATGGACTCCGGTGTACATCGACCAACAGAGGTGAGTCTTTTTGGTGCGTCATTTTATTTTCATCTTTAGATCTGAATGTCTAAAAACTTTCATTCCTGTTTTTTTCTTGGAGATAGTTAATTTTTTTGGGTACTTTGTTTTTCTGTTGCCTAGGCAATAGCAACAGAAGGAAAGTACTGGAAAAGGAGAATTGAAATTGTCATCAGAGAATATCATAAATGGAGAACATATTTCAAGAAAAGAGTAAGTTTATTTGCTCTTTACATTAAACTTTAACAGTACTGTATAACCAAGTTGATATTTATAAAGTACCCTTATTGCTGATTGGCTACAAGTTTGTTTTGCGATTCGGCCCGAATCAGTTTTTAAAGCGTTTTTGAAAAATCACTTACTCTGCCTTTAAATTATATTTATAGTTACAGAAGCACAACGATGAAGACCTGTCCAGCCTTCTCAAGGTAATTTTAAAAGGATTTATTTTTCTTCACTATAAAGTTGAAGTATAGTTAGTAATTTAGCATGTAAGTGTAATGGCATGCTCTTATTGAGTTTTTTTTTTCTTTTATCTCTTTCCTGTTATTTGCGGTTTGTAATTTATTCCTATAAAGAGATCAGCACTGCCTAAGAGAGTTTAGTCAGGGTAGATTGTTTAATTTTACACAAATGAAAACAAGACTGTGAAGGAAAGGTATAAACTCTCTGTACTAGGGCTGCACGATAAATCACATGCATTATTTAACGCGCATCTTGTCAGTAAAGCTGGTTCTGTAATCAGCGGTAAATCTCCATCACGTGCAGGCTTTCACATGGAGCAGCATTAACTACACAGAGCCGTTGTTCACTGACAAGCTGCGCAAAACCATGATCATATTTTGCGCAGCTTGTCTCTGAACAACGGCTCTGTGTAGTAAATGCTGCTCCATGTGAAAGCCCGCACGTGATGGAGATTTGGCTTTACTGACAAGTTGCGCATTAAATATCGCATGCGATTTATCGTGCAGCCCTACTCTATACTGTCTTAAGATGAATTTTTATTATAAACTTTTGAAAGACAGCAGTTTGCATTAACTTTATTTATAGAGTTATAGAGTTATATTATATCGAGAGAGTTATATATATTATATAGAGAGTTATAGTTTATTTATATTTACTTAGTAAATAATATATAGAGAGAGACCCAGAGCCAGATCATGGATTATCACGATTGGCTGGCTAGTGATGTGGAATGAAGTCAGTTTTATTTACAGCCAAATGGCAGTTCCAAAATCTGTTTAAGCCTGTAATGAATGACAAAAATGCATTTAAGATGTTTGTCATGAGCTGGAAGAGGATATTAGACACAGCTACCCACACAAATGCTTAAAACTTAGGTTTTGGGACACACAGGTTTTTATTTTGAAAATAAATCAGCTTTCACTTGATTTGAGTATACACTGCCTGTGGTTTAACCCAGGGTATAAATGCTGCTTCTCGCAAACTCCATCTCTGCAAGCGCTGTGAGTTTAATGTGCATTAGGAAATGCAATGCGCGCTATGTTCACTTTATTTACATTCACATTAGCATCATTTTCCAGCATTTTTGTGCATTGAAGATTACAGCATTTGGCCAATATTCTGCTGAAAATGTGCAAGGATTTAAAACTTGAGGGTTTGATCGGAGAATGTAAAGCATAATCATTGTATTGTACCTTCTAGTGTTAGTTGGTTCTTGTAAATATTGAACCCAAGTGTGAACACCCTTAAAAAGTAACTTCCCTTTAGGAGTATAGGAGTCTGTTGTTCTTTGTGTCTGGATGTGTCAGCAGTAGAAATATGAGACATTTTCATATGAAAAAAAAAGTCAAATTAGTTCAAATTGCAGTGCTTGACAAAATATTCACAATATAATTTTTTGGCCAAATCGAGCAGCCCTGTATCATTTTTAAATAAATGTGTGTCATGTGACTAATAATCAACATCAGAGAACCACAAATGTGTCCTTAATTCTCTTAATATTAATGTGAAATCTCTTCAGCTGACAAAAAAGTTTGGAAAACCCTGGTTTAGCCTTTAGATCAAAAGGAATTTTAAAGGGATAGTTCTCCCAAAAATGAAAATTTGCTGTTAATTTACTCACCCTCAGGCCATTCTAAGATGTAGGTGACTTTTTTTTATTCGGTAGAAAATTTAAAAAATATTTTTACTTTGGTGATTCATAAAATGCAACTTAGCGGCTACCTGTTTTTGAGAATAAAAAAGCATATCAAAGAACACCGAATTAATACCCATGGCTCCTGACGATATATTGAGGTCATATGAAGTGAAACCATCGGTCTGTGCAAGAAACTGTACATTATTTACATTATTACATAGATGTTTTACATGTATAAAGCATATAAAGTGAATAAACTAGTCTTAAAGAGCATTCGTGCTTTACCTGGAAACCTAAAGCTGCACTAGGTGTACATCACATATTAGCACAAATTTGATATTTTGAGCGCTCAATTGAAAATGTACACATAACGTATCAATTGTACTTACAGCTTGTTAGTCCAAATTAAGAAGATTAGAAGCCAAAGAAGATAAAAGCCAAGATTAGAAAAGCAGTCCTTGGTAAAATGACATGCACACAACAAAAGGTTCGAATTGTATTTCTGTGGTATCCTTGAACACAGCGTCTTCTCAACATGATGTAAACACACTAACTAGCGGAAGTGTTTGTGGGCAGGTCAGACTCTGTTCGTATTTTGCGGGCAGGCGGGGATTATGCAGATGTGTTACCCAGTGACGTATACCGGTAACAGGCAAAATATTCGAAAATATGACGACTCGTTAAGGCGATTCAGAATCGACTCTCTCTTTTGAGAGACAATATCTTTATTTATCATGCACTTTTTTGATTAACAACTTTGCAGATTGTTTTCATATAAGGATAGCTACGTTATAAACTGCAAAAGAGATATTTTTCAAAAACCCATATGACCTGCTCTTTAATCAACTCCCCTTTTTACATAAACCATGAGAAACCATTTCGCCCCTTCATTCAAGTGTATACTCGCATGCACATATCAGTGGCTCTTTGGAAGCCTTTTCTCTTTTGGAACTCTTTCCTCAGTTCAGTGACTATTGGAGGAGCTGGAGAACTAAAAGAGTTCATTCCTCATAGGATCATATATGCTGGTAGGTTTTGGCTCATTTTGAGTCAGACTGACTGTCAGACATCCGAAAATTTGTTTTGATTGAGTAACTTGTAGATCTTTGCTGCTCAAGCCGCGAACTGTTTCAGTTGGTTCGGTCCGATTTGGTGAACTGGTTCATTTAGTGCACTAAAAAGAACTGGTTCAAATACATTTTGACTGCTAGTGCATATGCTAGCACACATGCTTGATGCTTGCATTTATCTTTGCATGAACCTTGAGTGTGTCTGTTGACCTGGCCTGCTTGTTGCATTTTGACCTCCGAAGGGGGCAGAGGAACAGTTTTCACTCTTTGGGGAAGTGTGTCCAGACACTTGCCGTGTCCTCTTGTGCCAGGATGAGGATGTCAGTGTGGGAGGCCGTCGTAGATCCCACAAGAGTTGTGATTCACCTGTTCCAATGGAGATGGACTCGCTCTTCGACATGGATGTGCTCATGTCTGAATTCTCAGACACACTCTTTTCCACACTGGCCTCTCATCAACCTGTAGCATGGCCCAATCCGAGGGAGATTGGTGAGAAATGACAATCGAAGTCTGCCTTGTTAACATGTTTATTCGAGAGTAAGATAAACTGTCTATAAGCCTCGCTGTCCTCTTAGCCCATGCAGGTAATGCAGATATGATCCAGCCAGGCCTCATCCCACTGCAACCCAATCTGGACTTCATGGACACTTTTGAGCCTCTGCAAGGTACAAGCACATTTACTCTTGTTAATTGGCAAATTAGGGATTGACTTGTTGACAAAATGAGTGGTTGGGTAACACTTTAGATTCACTATTCACTATTAACTAGTTGCTTATTTGCATGCATATTAGTAGCATATTGGCTGTTTATTTGTACTTATAAAGTACATATTATGCTTTATTCTACATGACCATGTTAGATCCCTTTAAACCTACCCAGGGCTCCAGACTGCGATTAAAACGGTCGCATTTGCGACCAAAAATATTAATTTGCGAGTGAAGTTTTTGCTGAGGTCGCCACTGGCGACTATATATATATATATATATTTACGTTATAACTTAAAAATTAGCATGTAATGCCTTTTAAACTGAGACGATGCGCATCAAATTTTTAGTGGAAAAAAAGTTTCAAACAGTCCTCATCTCTGCCGCACAGCAGCATTGTCGCACACCTGCTAAACGCAGCTCAGTTGTACAGCGCGAGAGAGATCGAAATAATGGTGACGTGCGAAGTGAAAGTGCAGAAAAGCAGCATCTATTTCGTGCACAACTTGAACAAACTACTGTACAACAGGTAAAGCTGTCCGCTGTGTGGATATTGGCAATATCGTTAACAATTCTCGTTTATAATCATTACTAATATGGCTTCTTCTTATCAAGATCTTAGTCTATATGCTGTGTTCTGTTAATGCGTGAACTTCATATTATTTGAAGCGCACTTGCCGTCCAGTAATCGCAAAAAGCTTAATAAGCAAAGTACCAGCTTTAAAATTATTCCAAATTCATAACGAAATTCATACAATAAATACAGTTTTGGCGCTCTTTAATGTGGCAGGCGTGATCGCTTTAGCGCCTCAGTTCAAGCGGCAAATGAACCCATTTAATATTTCTCTTTACTACTATAGTACATAATGAACATGAATTAACATCAAAAGGTAGGCTATTTTATAAGAGAGCCTACAGTACAACTTACTGAAATGTCTCATGTAAAAGCTCATTCAGTGTTTCAAACTGCGGAAAACGTGTAAAGCTTGTAAACATCACATATACATTTACCTCAGAATAACCATTCGGTGTCCATAAGCTCATCAGTCAGCTAGAAAAATAACTATAAAGAGCATTTCGCTATATTTATGTGCTATTGCATATTTTTACTTAACCTGTTGTCTACATGATTCAACTCCTCTTATAAAATTGCATTTTACTAATTAAGAAAAACAGACTGAAAGTGTGAAAGACATACACTCTTAAAAATAAAGGTGCTTAAAAGGTTCTTCACAGAACCATTTTTGGTTCCACAAAGAACCATTCAGTCAAAGGTTCTTTAAAGAACCATCTCTTTCTTAGCTTTTTATGATCTGAAGAACCTTCTTTCACCACAAAGTGTTCAGATGTTAAAGGTTCTTTATGAAACCATTTAGACAAATAAAGTTTCTTCTTTGGCATCGTGAAGCACCTTTGTTTTTAAGAGTGTATGACAACATTTACAGGATGCATTGAGGAGGAGCCCAAACTACACTCAGTGGCCAAGTGATGCTTATGGTCCATGATATTGGTACAGATTCTGTGTAATGAACAATTCTTTGTGACTGTATATTTCAAGTTGGAAAAGACATTTAGTTCCCACTTTAAGCGAACCTTAGTTCCCAGGTCATCTGCAAGATGGATTAAAACGCTGATAAAGTCAAGAAAAACACATGACAGTATGATTGAAATGTTAAAATGTAAAAAAAATAATAATAATAATAATAAAAAAACGTTTATTCCGTGGCACCTAAAAAAATAATTTGGTGCCTAAGTTTTTTTCTTATAGGAGCCAATGGCTCCTTACTCGATTTTTTTTGTCTGGAGCCTTGCCCATACCTTAACTTAAAGGTGCAATAGGTGATTGTCTTCAGAAACATTTTTTGTTATGCTGGTTGAAAGTCTCTTCACATCCCGATAGCAATAATTAAGTTAAGTGGTCTAAATGTATTTATCTGTATTTATATATTCTGTGGAAGGCGTAGGACCAAGAAATGTTCGTCTAATCAAAACGCTTGGTCCGAGCATTTAATTGACTTTCCTACCTGCCTGTCAAGGTATGTATTAGCATACCTCTGCGCACCCGGTTCGCGCAGACAGGATACGTCATCAGCGCGTTCACGCATGCTGTGCAGACAGAGTGAGAATGGCAGACAAACATCAACAACCAACCCGTTCTTTCTTCCTGGTATTGTAGTACTTTTAAAGTTTTCTCACCGGTGAATGACATGATGTAGCCCAGCGGTTCCCAATCCCAGTCCTCGCGCCCGCGCTTAATATTTTGGTCTCCTACTGCACCTTTAACAACTACCTTACTAGCCATTAATAAGCAGCAAACTAGGAGTTTATTGAGGGGAAAAGTCTTTGTTAATAGTGAATGTGTTTCCTCATCTAAAGTGTTGCCATAGTTGTTTGGAATAATTAAGAATTTTTTGTAATTTCTTTGAAAGAAGACTCTTGTGATCACAGATTCTGCATTTATTTAAAGAAAAATACAGTAAAAACAGTAATTTTGTGAAATATTATTATAGTTTAACATAACTTTTCTTTTTAAATATATTTTAAAATATAAAGTGATGGCAGAGCCAAATCAGCATATTAAAATGATTTCTGAACGATCATGTGACAATGAAGTCTGAAGTAATAATGCTGAAAATTCAGCTTCGCATCACAGGAATAAATTACATTTTAAAATGGAAAAATATATATTTTAAATTGTGGTAATTTCACAATATTACTGTTTTTATAGATTTTTTTTGGTGTCTAATTTGTGACTAATTCACTCTTTTAGCTGTTGATTTTGAATCAATCAAACCATTTTGTGGAACATGACAATATCATAAATTGGTCCGAAATTCAATTAATGTACAACAAATTCACTGAATCTGTCGGAGTAGTTCAAGAGTTAACACACTGGATCAAACATTTTGTTTTACTTTCTCTCTTTTTTTTGTAACTAGATTTGTTTCACACCCTGCGTCAGCCAGCCTTCCCCTCCACTTCCCCCACTTCCCCATCCGTCACTCCCTTAACCAGCAGCAGCTCCCAAACACAGGTAACAATCCTGTCCCTGGATTCACAAATTTGTAGGGATGTAGTTGGCCCTGTTTTGTAAGCACTTTCTGTCCTCCTCCACAAATGCACAGTTGCTTCGTGATAATTATAAAACTCAACAATGTGAGTGTAACCCATTAGAATGATTGCATATTGTTATAACTGAACATTTGTGCATAGTATAATCAGACACAATGAGTTGCACAAAGGTCTCAAATTAGCACCATTTTTAAGCAAAAGAAACAAAGGTCTGTTTGAAGAAAGACAAGTTTAGTATGCTTGCTATGAGAACTGGACAGTAGGGCTGGGTTGTATATGGCAAAACAAAAAAAACTATTTATTTTAAAGTAACTTAATATAATGTTTTTTCCCCCATGCATTGCACACACATTAAATTTCATGTAAATCATCCATGCTTACACGTTTTCTATTAGAATTTTTTTAATTTGAAAGTAGAAATTACACTCTCTATAAATATATTTATCATAAATGGAGTTTCGAAGTTTCTTGCTCAAGTTCACGTGACCGAGACGGCAGAAAGCGCATCCTGTTTGCTTTAATTATTTTACAGAAGCGCAATGTTTCGTTGTTATTCTGAGTGCACAGAAATAAACGTAGAGTCTTTACAGATTCGAAAGGTGTATTACTTTTATCTGTATGACCAAAAATGATGGAGTATTTTAAGAGCAAGTGAGCGCACCGGCGCCTCTTTCTGTCCCGCAATGAGCGAGCTGCTGTTCAGCTTCCACACAGACACTTCTATAGCGCACATTTCTCTAGGTTAACGTTAGATTGAGCGGCCATGTAAAGTTGTTACTACATACATCTTTCAGATGAAAAGCCATATTCGAGGTCGATGAATGATAGGTGGGCCGGCGTTTGGATGTCCTGCCCGATGTACACTATATTACCACATGGACCAGCCGTTAACGATCTGTCCGTCATGAACTGCGTATGTCATTCACTTAACCAGCCACACCAAAGCAAACAGGAGGAGAGCATAAAGAGACAGGGCAACTAGAATTGAGTTCAAAATTAAAATATACAGTTTATAGTTTAATTATATAAAAGGTATATTTGTGTATAAAGTTGGGTATCATAGTGTTATTACGATTTCCGGGCCCACCTAGGGCTGGGCGATATGTCAAAAATATCTTATCGATAACCGCCTTTAAAAATATCGCGATATCTGATAATATCGTCGACGTAAGCCCCACCTCCACCACGCCCCGCCCCCGCCGAGACAACATTGCCGACATGCACCATAAACACACACCATGTTCAGTTTGGTCTTAATTGTTGCCACAAAGTTTGGTTTTACTTTTCGTAGTTTGGGCTTAAACTAACAGAAAACATTAGCTTTGCTGTTATTTTGGTGTTGCTAATAATTTCCACTCTGTTCTCATCAAATTTGTGTTTGAAATGAATTTCGTTTTGTGAGGAGAACT